AGAATATTAAGTGATAAGTACACAAGGTTAGGTTATGAACTAGATCTAATTATTACGTTATTTATGTCTCGTGAACATGAGTATCAATTAAATATATGTATAACAATTACTTTTTGCACGTGTCGTATCTAAGAACATTTCTATTTCTGAAGTCAAGGTCCTTCAAATCGTATGCAGCGCCCTCCAGTGACGTAGAAAGAAAAGAAGGGGTGACACAAAACGCTTTCTTTTCACTGTTTGTGTATTCGTAAATGCAAAATAGAGAAAATACGTTCCTCATAATTATATTAACATAGTGTTAGTTGGAATAATGCACATTGCAGTTTGCACAACGAAAATTTAAATGGAAAAACATTATTTTTTAACTGCTGGCTATAAAAACAAATGCATATTTGTTTTCAAGATTAATTTGAGATTAGAGGCGTATCGCGTATCGGTTGTAAAATACGTAATAATTTTTTTAATTTATTTACAATTGCATATCGGAGGACTTAATACTAGAAGTATTTTTTGACAGTCACCAAGTTCCATTGACCAAACGAGGTCAATTCTTTTTGAGTTCTACAAGAAAAGAGACCTAAAAGATGCTGATAAGTGAAACTTCTAGTTAGTAGAAGTGCATAAAAATATGCATGTATTAAAGCTGGTGAAGTAATTTACGCTGCCCCGGCGCGAAATAGAAGAAGGCACTTCGGTATTAGCCAGTAAGAGTATAACACTCCCTCTTGCCGCACCCAGAGAGGGAGGAGTATGTTGATGATAACCCTATCAAAAAAACCTACATTCGATTTTCAATAAATGAAAATGAAAGCAATACGATCGTGTCTACCGACGACCTATAAAATTAACGCTGTCGGATTTTAAAATTTTAATTTTATTTTCAATTCCTTTTCTCCATACTAACTATAATTTTCTCCCGAGTCATGAGTGACAAACATACAATTTCAGATGTAAGGGACAACCAGGCTCGAAACAACAATTTGTGGATTATATAGAGTTGTTTCGGCACCAAGTTGCCCAGCCATCGCGCCACTATCGGGTAACCTATGAGCCTACTTATTATTAAAACTACAAAGTAACTACTAAACATTTTTACAGCCAATAAAATTACTTCCCTTAACTTTTCTAGAACATTGTCAACACTATGATAAGGTGACGAAATATTTACAACCACAATAATACTTTTGTTGGACAGTGTCGTTATCAGTCATAATTTTTTTATCGTATCCTTATCGCAGAGTAAACATCAATGGTTATGGGGAACGCAATTGTTTTCGTTGGTACAACCTTATATTTAAGAACGGATAAAGTATTTATTACCAGTTTCAATTTTATTATACACTTCGCTTGTTTGAACGCTCTAATCTCCGGAACGACTGGTTCGAATTGCAAAATTGTTTTTGTGTTGGTTAGTTCATTAATAAAGGGGGTTCATTTCTATGGGCTATAAAACATGAAGCTACAGCCAAATGGTAGCGAGCATTGGATAAATACAACATTGGGAACTTATTGGGGCCGCCTCAAATCAATATCAGAGATAAAATAAAAATATTTTTCATTTTTATATTTATTTACTTGTGTTGTAAATCTTACTTGTCATTATGGTTCAGCTTACTAAGGCCATGGTGCAGAGCAAGAGGAACTGGAAATCTATCTCCTTCTGTTGCGATTACAAAGCTGACATGCTAGCTAAGGTGGCGGAGCGGGTGAGGGAAAAGTCGCCCTAACGCCTTTACGAGACTATCTTTTCTAGGCATCGGTGATAGTAATAATGCGCACTCGCAAGAAAAAACGCAAGAACGTTAAGAAGGCGACCTAGGTCGGAGCAGGAGATTAAGGCGCATTTTTTATTAAAATTAACTCTCACTTACATTAACACTCACTCTCACTTTTAGTCAGTAAGAGTCTGACACTCCCTCCCGCCCGGCCCTGGGTGGGAGAAGTCATTTGATGATTTCCCCTCACAAAAAAAAACACATACATATATATCCAGTAGGTCTGCACCACAAGAGTGTATTATTCAATACTTAAGAAATTAATATCGCAGATTAGTTGCCAACTATGTACCAAGTGTTTTATCTAATCAGTTTTAAAGACGAACCAAGTTCAAACTTGGTACAGTATACATACCTACCTACTGATAATAATATAATATTGTTATGTAGGACTTTGTAAATGTAATTATGTGTTCTATGGCCAATATTTATTTCGATACAATGTTATTTTAATGTAGGCTAAGCATTTAACATGCTTGAAGTATGTAGTTTTATATGTATGAAGTTTTATAATAATGCAAGTGATACATAGGCTTATTTCTTTACTGCAAATGATACAGAAAGTAATAACTTACTTGTACACTTAACTAGGTACTATTACATTAACAACAACAGTTTTGCTTTTATATAAAAAAAAATGTGTCACACTAGATTTTAGACAGTGAAAAACAGACGAATTACCTTATGGTAAGCAATTGGCGCCGCCCATAGTTACGCGCATAACCGCTACAACAGAGAAGTTACGAGTGTGTTGCCGTTCTTTTGGAGATTAAGGGATGTGTAAGTGAGGTTCTAATCCTTCTTGGAGAGCAAGAAGGATTAGAACCTCACTTACACAGCGAGACAAGTATTTGTTTCACGCCATTTTTTCGAGGCCGTAGTATGGTATCAGGTCGAGTCAAAACATTCGTGATAAAGCTTGCCTCCCTCACACTTTTAGAATAGAATGCACGGTTGGCGCGGTGGCTGGGCAACTGGCTGCAGCGCAACGTGTAGTGGGTTCGATTCCCGCACGGAACAAGTCTTTGTGTGATCCACAGATTGTTGTTCCGGGTCTGGGTGTGATGTGCTTGTGAAATTGTATGTTTGTAAACACACCCACGACACAGGAGATAATCCTAAAGTTAGGCAAGGTTTTTATTAAAAAAAAAAGTGTAGGAATATGAATGTGGAATCTGTTTTGATATTTCATTGTAGCATTGTAATTGAGCTATCAATGCTTTATTAGTTCAAATATTAAAAAATATTAATTTTGTTTTAGTAAACATTGACAGTAATATTAATAATTAATCAGGATAAAAAATCCAGCAAAGTTATATTTAAGTAAAAAAACAACAATATAATATTATTTTCATAATTTCCCTAATATTAGCTGCATTTATGGTCAGTGTGTCAACATTTAACTTTGTTATTGAACGCAAAAACAGATAAATTTTCCTTATTAACTAGTATTATAGTTACCAAAGTATAATACCTAAGTAAAATAAGTTATATGAAATATTTTTGGTAATATGGGCATTAATTTACGTTTTCAATCTTTGTGTATAAAATGTATATTACCTAGAAATCGTAACAAATAAAGGCAACAATATATTCTTAGTATCTATACTAATATTATAAAGAGTTAAAATTTGTATGTATGGGGTAAATTTTTGGAACTGCTGGTCGATTTACAAAATTCTTTCACTGATACACAGCTACAATGTTCCTGAGTGCTATAGGCTATAAAACATCATGCTACGATTAAAAGGAGCCGAGCAGCGGGTGAAACGGCGCGAGAGTAGCTAGTCATAAATATTAAGAATATTAGGCATTTATTAGTCTGATAATTAAGACACCACTGACACAAGGTGAAGGAAAACATTGTGAAGAAAATATGGACATCTACCTTGACTATACATGGTGATTAATACTAATCCCGCTTCCATTTGAGAAGAGGTGTTTTATCAGCTGTGTGCAGGCTAATCATGATGATGATAATATTAATGGAACAGTGCTTTCTAGTATTTTGATGGCATTGTAACAATGGACAATTTTATTCTGGATAAAGTTAGGAAGCTGAGAAGTATGAGACTATAAAGATGCACCATAGACATATTTAACTTTTTAATTATGAAATGTTTGCCCTACACAAAAAGAACTTATATAATAAAAAACACAATATTTAAGTTCATGAATTTCCAGTTAAGTAGACAAATACTTTTTTTAAATTATTTCATGGGATTTTATTTAAATAACTACTATAAGTACTAGTAATTTATAAAATTCACATGATATGTAAGACAGGCTATAAATTTTGACACAGATATTATCTATCATTTACTTTATTTGTACAAGTTATATTTATGCAAAACATTTAAGTTATTTGTGTTGGATGAGAATACTTTATAGGTTTGTTTTTTATGTAATAACCTATTTAAAAAACATTGACACCATTTTTGTTAGAGTAGGCATAACCAAACACACAACAACACACTAGTACTGTTTAAAAATCGAATTCTTGAAATAGAATTAAAAAAAAAGACAGTACCCTAAAGACTAGGTAAGTAATTGTTTTTTTTTTATTATTGGTGGAAGTAGCTATGTTAGTGGTTATAAAAATATGTATAATGTATTAGAAACAAATTAAGTATTAACAATAAATTATGTCATTAACCTGCACAGCTTAGACAACAAAAACTATTTTTTTAATAGTCAACAATCTCATTATCGTAATAATCATGCAACACCAATCTTTTTACATTCCTGTGTTATCAGTATTTTATTAGAAATTGTACTTGAAATACTAGTAAGTAAATAACTGCTTTTAAAATAACATGCTTTAAGTGCACATGTAATTCTATTTTCACTTTCAAATTCCAATATAATAAGCAAACAAGATAAAGAGAAAGTGAATAAAGTAGGCACTTGAAATTCTCATAGCAAAAAACTTGTAAAGAAATAAATGTAGAAATGTAGACATATCAACCTCTTTGCAGACTAATGTACCAAAGACAAAGCCAAAAATAGCAAAGGCATAACTACATTCAGGCTACCTAATTGATTTATGGGAAACAAATAAGTTCGAAACATACACGCGTAATATATTGTGGAAGGTACACATCGTGCGAATTTGCAACGCATTATTCATGATTATGGCTTTTCCCAAAGGAAACCGTCTAGTACATTCTACACAATAACAATATCTTTATTTGTATTAGAATTCCTTATCTGTAGTTAGCTTACCTGAGTAGAATGACTAACATTACGAAAAGCGCCACGAGAGCGCCGATCATAATAAAAATATTTGGCAAATCTGCCAGAGTCAGCCCTGTGGTACCCATTTTTTGAGTTTTCTTTTCACTGTCACAACACCAAATAATCCACAAAAGTTTTATAAATGACGGGAGCACACATCAGTCCACTAAATAATCTAGATTTTTGTCTCAAAAGTCACGACCTTGCTACAAGATACAATTTGCAAAATCCAATACACAGTCGACTGTTCACTAACGACTGCAAAATGTACACCGGGTGTATTGCACAATAATATTTTCATAGGAACACAATATCAGCGGTGCAAGCAGCCGCGTTAACTCTACGTTTTATACATTGTACCGTTCACAAACAATAACAATGATCATTGATCGAAAAATCAAGTAAATTACGTGTTTCCTTGCGCGCGTTTTTGACAGGAATGATGCGATCCAAGACGAAGTGCGAGGAAAACTCCGTCAACGACAGCAAAAATTGAACGAATGAAGTGAACTATTGTGTGCAGAGTGAAAGAGATAGACGGCTCTTTTACGTCAACTGTCCCTACGTTAGAGAGAGAAAGAGAAAACAGCTGGCTCTTGACAATTTGACGTAGGTACAATGACGTTTCTGTGAAAGCGTTCCAGTTTAAGAGTTTTATTACTTTACATATTTAGCATTGTTATATTATTATCAACCTTTTGTTTTGGTTTCTTTATTATATGCAGCGTGCTATCTGCTGCGGTTTATGAAAATAGAAATAGAAAAAATGCACACTTAGTGAGACCAATGTCCTCCCTTATTGACGAAGAGGCATTATAGGCATTGGAGAGATTAAATAAAGATTTTATATACCTTTATACAAATTTGTTTTGGCATTCATTTGCGTTAAGTTATATATGGATAATAGTAGGTACTATAATTGTATATAATGTAACCGTACAGTGTAATTAGATGAGGAGTAAGAAGCATTATCCGAATTAGTTTAAATATGAAGTCTCGTCTTATGTAGTTAGGTACATCATTTATCACGTTAGAGACATTTTAAAAGAATAAGGGTTGTCGAAGAGCATTAATGGACAGTATTTGGCAAATGTATATTTTCTCAGTCGACTGGTATCACCACGGTGAATACACGGGAAAGGACGTGGGTAGTAAAAACGTTAGGTATTCTGGTATGCCACGGTCACATTACTTGATAGACAACAGAACTCACGAAATACTGAGTAATATACTTATGTAATGAATAACGCTACTTATCTATCCATTGTCATTACAATAAACAGTATAGTAGGTATAATAGCCGTATTACAAATTGCAATGAAACAAATTGCCAATTGACAAAGTACTTTCGACACCATATTAAGTAAATTACTCGATTACTGGCTGAGAACCCTCTGATTCAAGTGTAGAGTGTGAATACCGTGTTAAGTGGGGAAGGGGAGAAGGGAGAGGGAGAGGGTACCTACTTATTTCTAAATAGAACGTTGCCCAAAACTAGGACTTTCAAATGTAGGTATGTTTTTACAGTAGGTACTTAAAAAATCACAACTTTCAAGTGTGATGGAGCCATGCTTCGGTACGAATGCGTCGGCTTGACCGGAGTCATACGACGGCCTCACAGAAAAACAGCGTTTAATTTCGCCATATGAGTGTCGCTACCAGAGGCCTAATGCTTCTACCCCCAACCCAATCCATCAATCTCCAAAACCCTAATCCCCAAAAGGCCGGCAAAGCCCGTATAACTCTGCTGGTGTTGCATGTGTCCATAGGCAGTGCCGATTGCTTGGCGTCCCATCTCATTAAATAAAAGTATTTGTGGATCCCAATAAGTGTTCCCAATCCAATTCGTGCTCGTCGGCACCGTCTACCTACTAGCCGTGCCCGCATGCCGTACCGTAGCCCGTGCATCATCCCCTATTCCTAGAGCGCTGTCCGCCCTTAATAGTCTCGTGGAGGCCTATCCCGACTGTGATGTATTTGTAGATACATTTAATATTATTAGAGGTATATATTTGAGTTTTTGTGAAAGTCTGAATGATTCGTATTTGGTTTTGTTTGTTTTAAGTTCATCTTTTTATTTTTCAATACGAGTATCGAATCAGCGACATTTTGCACAGCAGCCACTGCACAACCAAGTCAAGTCAAATTGTGTTTCGTCTCATAATAATTTTCGAATAAGTAATACCTAGTGTTTAATTCAGTGTGGCCGGGTAGACTGACGACATCGTCAGAGACGTGGACAGAAACGGATGCAAGTGCCGAGTTGTTCGACGTTTAGGACTTCAGGGCGGTTTTGTTCAGTAGTGTGCGTCTTGCCGTTAATGATGATGCATAAAGGTGCTATTCAAAACCTGGCAAGGATAAAATAATGTGTTTTTTTTCTAGTTTGGTATAGTATGTAATGCGCCCGCTTCTCATGCATGAGGTTCGAAACTTGGCAAGTACCAATGTGACTTTTTCCGAGTTATATATACTTTCTATAATTATACATATAGATAGATACCACGTAAACATCGTGAGGAAACCAGGACTTATAATTTCTAATTATAAGTTTGAAATACCCAACTCGCATTGAGCAAGCGTGGTGATTAATGTTTCAAACCTTCTCCATGTGAGAAGAAGCCTTTGCTCAGCAGTGGGCACTTGTAGGATGATGATGATGATGGACATTTTAAGATAATTTACAAACCACTGACAATGCGCGTTCGCGCGCTGAATTCTTGTCCTTATCACACGGGGTGGTAGGTATCTTCCAGATAATCTTTGGATATATACTTATCCGAAACCTTTGGATACTTATGCCATAATTTAAATAAAAGTTGGCTTTTACTAGCTTTATTCGTTGACTGCCGGGTTCCCCTTTCCCAACGAAATAATGAAATAAACAAAACTTGCATTTCTACCTAAATTATTAACCCATTATAAAGAGGGAAAATTGGAAAATGCACTCGTAAATACCTATTTAATAGGATTCCGTTTAAAAAAATGTTCAATAAGTAATCGTCATAAAATATAATTGAAAACATTAATTTCTACACTGGAAATCGTAAAATTCTATGGTAAAACGAAAATACTTCAATAAACTTCGTTTGAGTTTGTCTCCGAAGAAAATTTTCCAATGAAAAAGATCGCGTGTCCAATTGCTCTGAATTAGAAAAAGAATATTCAAATTACTACTTATGACGGAGGGGAATTGTAATTGGGCAAGGGTTACGTACACTACAATTTAAAAATAAAACTTTTATTGGATTCACAAACGAGATTTGTGTTTTGTAGTAGACTAACATATCGGCCTGATTTCATATGTGGACTATAATGTAGGATTTTTTTTTAAGTCACTAAGTGACACTTCCTTACGCCTAGCCCAGAGCGAGAGACATTATTTGATGATATGCCCATAAAAAGTCTTTTGCTATGTGCGAAATGACTGCGGCGGCGTAAGGGAGTGACTGACTCTTACCGACTAAAGACTATCCCGTTTCTTCTGCTGCTTCCGTCCGAGGCCGCGGTACCTTACTGCGGCTACCCCGCAACCCTGGGTTTCTACATGAGAAACTTATGTGCACCTTTACTAACTCCTCTTACTTCAAGGATTTAAAGGTAAAACATTTTTTAAGCGTATATTACCGGGATTATTTTGTAAGGTATAATGCACTCTAGTATTTAGAGTGCAAAATTAGACCTAAGTAATAAAATGTAAACCTAGTTTATAATTAAATTTTATTAATCTGAAGTGTTGGTTCTATATAAGAGGTAATGCTACGACCGATAGGAGCTAATCAACGGGTGAGTATAGTTCCTTTTACAAAGAAATACGATTAAATAATTGAAAATTATCTATGTTTAGTCTTGCCAACCATTAATCGCAGCTTCATCGAATTACCCAACAAAGCATTTCTATTTGTAAGTGTAAAAGACGTAGTCGTGTTTTATAATACTGCTTATTATATTCCGGCTAGCTACTATCAAAAATAGGGTCGTTATGAAATTTGGCGGTTCAACTATTAACCGGATTGAATGCGGCTGAATTGTATGCAGCGCCGTTTTGAATGACTATTCATTATTTATGGGATTACCTGATGGTAAACAATCAGCGCTGCCTATGGACACCCGCAACAACAGAGGAGTTACGAGTTGCGTTGCAATTTTGGTATTGGGGGAGGAGTAATCCTTTCCCTCCTCCAGGCTTCCGGTAATCTCACTCACATGGTCAAACACAACGCTGTAGTTGTTTCACGTTTCGTTTCGTGCCGAAGGATGGCTCACCCACACTTAGAAAGCAATTAGCCGCCTCTTTGTCAGTTTTTAATTTAGTTCAGATACACTTAGGTATAGTGCACCTAGAACAATGACCCTTAACGTCCACTTCAAGCATGTCGTGCTCAATAATACTACCACAAATTTAGCAGTACTACACAATCCAGGTCTTCGTCAACCGCTGCCTTCGGCAAATACTTGGCATTTTCTGGCCAGAGAAGATCTCGAACGAACGCTTGTGGGAGGCGTGCCGGGAAATGCCAATAGATAAGCAAATTACACGCCGAAAGTGGTCATGGATAGAGCTCACTCTCAGGAGAGGTTCCACACACATACCGAGACAGTAAGCTCTATAGTGGACACCACAAGGCAGGTGAAAAGTTGGCCGTCCTAAGCAAACGTGGCGGCGCACAGTGGCGGCGGAAATAAAGAGGATAGGACTGTCCTGGTCCGAAATTAAGCACATAGCCCAAGATAGGTCCAAATGGAAAAATACTGTGGAAGCCCTTTGCCCCACCTAGGGGACATAGGAACTTAAGTCAAGTAAGTCACACAATGCAGCTAACCCTGGGACGCCTTATTGGAGGACGCTTCGCAATGACAATCCAGCTAATATTTCAATAGCTGCATTTCGTAACGGCCTGTTTTTGATAACATCTAGACGCAATGTAGTACGGCGGATTATCCGATGTGCCTGCGACAAATACATAATGACTAATGTCATTTATTATGTATGTTAGCCCTTATGTGGGGAGCCCCGCATAACATATATTTAAAATCGATTACTAGTCGTGACGCGGTTATCAAAACTTTATGAAAGTATAGGCTGGCGACAGATAGGCAAATAACAGTGATTCAACATGTTTTATGTTTTCCTTTATTATTGTGTAATATTGAACGCTTAATTATTTGAGGGTAAGCGTAGGCTCACAAAGTATAAACGATGTGGTTAATTTCTCACGGACTTGCTGGATGCCGGCTGCTTACTCTAGGCAATCTGAAACTTTATTTAAGTATTTAAATTTCATCACGATAATGACTCAGGCAATTACTTACTAACAGTTGCGCCTTAATTTATTGTGGAGATATTTTTTAAAGGAAGACAATTATCGATTGGTTTGCTTTTCCGAGCTTTTTCTCTCTGGCAGAGGAACGATTGTACCTTTTGCTTAACTAAAAAGTCATTTTACCCGAAATCCCGGCGGAGCGTTGGCCCTAGACAGCCCCTTAATGAAATTTAAGTCTGTGTCCAGCTTTGGACATCTTGAGGTTAACGTGACGATGAAAAGAAAGCCTCTTATCTTTACATATTACTTTATATTGGAACTCTGAAATTAAATACTCATTATACCTACTTTTGATGTATTCTTTGCCATATGAAGATTAAAAGAACAATTAGGTAAATAAGGGTTTTTAACAATCATTACGCTCTTTCTTCCTAAAGCCTAAAAGTAATGACACAAATAAGTAAAGTCGGTAATGCCTCCTCATTAAAATCATCAAATGTCTTCTCCGGTTCTGGGTGGTATGAGCGGGATTGTCAGACCCTCACTGACTAAAATTCACCCCGTTCCTTCTCCTGCGACGGTGCCGCGGTACATAAGTGCCCTTGTACCCACAACCCCGATTGAAATGAGTAAAGTTGGCGAATTTCTCCTTCAGGAACGCTTTTGGAAAACATACATATCTACCAGTTAAGGTACGCTGTTAAGTTCAAGGAAAGATTTCGGACTCCGGTTGTTCCAATAATTAACATATGTCATTTTACTTTGAAAAAATCGAATTCAAAAGAAAGAAATAAAAAATGAACGTATCCTCTAGCCTACATTGCGCCCTACCACTGCGGTTGTCATGTACACAGGCCGACACAAACTGTAAACAAAACGAGGATCGATATTTTCAACAACCACAACTAAAAGCTCGGCGGCTCTCGTAACGAATACTCGTGCTCAAATTAAATTTAAAAAAATAATATCTGTCATTTGTGATACCGGCGCGAATTTTGACATAAATTTTGGCGGGATATGCTCGCGAGTTTTACGTTCGGATACGCGAATGAAGGATAATTTTGTGTGGGACTGTTCACGTATCAAACTGTGGAACAACGTGGCATCCTGTATGGAGAAATGGTTCGGTGATAAACGGCTGTGGTTATTTGGCAACAACCTGCCGCTGCTACCGAGGAGGTAAGACATATACATACATAGACAGAAAAATGTGAAACAATAAAAATATTACGCGTAGTACACATCGATGGGCAATTGGCAGTGATTTAATCATTCTTATATGTAAATCCTTAGTGCCCTCAATGAAATGTTATTTTTCTAATAAGAAAACAATTTTAGATTGTTTCTTGAGAATCTATGTACATATTTTCAATGATGTCGTATTGCGACATCAATTCTAGTAAAGTTTATCGAAAAACTAGATCGATCTAGATATTTACGATTGAAATCGTTTATTAATTTCAATCATTCGATGTTTTTATTTGTGACACTACAATAACTTATCTGTGAAAATATTAAATTAAAAAATGTTATCTAATCCCCTTTGTTACGTTCTTTTGTAAAACTGCAATAGTGTGCCTAAACTAAACTACACATTTTTATTTTGCACTAACTAACACAACAGTAAGAAATAAAACCGATTACATTGTATATATTCAAAACGGTTAAAAAATTACGACACACATGGATCACCATATCGGCCTAGAACCACCTTCCTTTATGACCCCTTGCCCTGATGACCCCAATGATAAACGAACTCGTAAAGAACTCCTCTGATATTGCAGGCGTCCATGGGTGCCTTTGATAGCTTACCATCAGGCGTTCCGTCTAATACCCTCATCATATAAAAACTCTTGTAAATGTAAGTAGTAAATTAGCAAACTGCCCCCGGCTTCAAACCATCCTCTTAAATCACACTATCTATTCAAAAAACCGAATCAAAATCCGTTGCGTGGTTTTGTAGATTTAAGCATAAAAGGGATATAGGGACACAGAGCGACTTTGTTTTATACCATGTAGTGATGATACAAAAATATAATAGGTCTTTACGTATGAAATTACCGTTTTGCATGAAAAAATTTAAACGAATTTTTTGATTTGAAATGCGATGAAAATGTAACACTAATCAATAAACAAATTACTACTTTTGGAAAAAGAACCCCATGTTTTTAAAACAAAATTAATTAGCCTTAGCCTAACAAAAACTATTTTGATTTGAAATGGCCAGTACTGCAGAACGGCAATTTCATAGGTAAAGACCTATTATTTACATTTAGAGGTCTTTTTCTGAGGTGAAAATCATCAAATGACTTCTCTCGCCCAGTGTGAAGCGAGAGGGAGTGTCAGACTATTGCTGACTAAAACCCCCTATTCCTTATTGGCCCCGCAACATCGGCTTTTTTATAGGTCTGGGACTAAGAAAGCAATAAGGTACCGGCTCCAGGCTGGCCTATGTTAGGAAGGGAACGGGGTGGTATTTGGTCAATATGAGTCCGACATACTGATACTCCCCATTAAAAAACTTTAACCTATTCAGACTATTCCGTAAAATCTCTTAACCCTTTATACCCATAACATATAGCATTGATGAGTATTGTACAATTAAATTATACCGATTATTGTATAATTTGGTAGTACAAAACTCATCAATGCTCCCGAAAATACGTCACGAATTACAAACAGGGGGTGACAAAAGTTTATATTTACTCAAGTTTAAGTGAAATTAGCATGAACTTGAACTTGAAAGCACCCCTAAGTTAGATAATAAGACACCATAGTTTATGAATAGGTGAAGTTGAATCGACTATAGTGCCAAGGCTTTGTAGTTAAAACTTAGGAGGGTTTTCTTTCCTTTTTGAGGGATATTATGTAGGTCGGCGAAACTGTATTATTGTATATATATATATGTATTATACGGTATTACTAGATGGGAAGTACGACTCATGATCAGTTACTCAACTACACACACCGCGTATTGTACCACGGTGGTACCGTAAGTTCGGGTTACTTTGACCCTGGGAGGTAACTTTGATCCAAATTTTCGAACAAATGAAAAACGAATATATGTTTGGTTCTCAGATATTATTGGTTAAAGGGTTTGAACCTACGCGGTATTATTGTGGTGTGACTACGATCAAGCCGCCTATCCGTGGCGAGGAATGAAAATTGGTACTTTTATTGCGGTATTACCTTGATATTAATTCGTAATGAATCTAAGGTTTACTCACTTTTAAACTTTCGTTTCATGTTTAGGTACAGGACATATAATAACGCGGGTATTAACGCGAAAAGTTATTATTTAAAAAACCTTAGAAGGCTTGACGTTTCGACCTGGTTACACACCTGCTTGCGACCACGATACGAATAATAATTGTGTTGAACCAAATTTTTTTTCATTAACAGGTTAAAGTCTAATTCCTATAGATTTGTATCTCCTCTCCTCTATAATCTACACGTCAGGGGAGTGCTAGACTTCCGCCGGGGTTGCGGGGTTAGCGCAATGAGGCACCGCGACCTCGGCCCGGAGCAGGAGAAGGAACAGGGAGGTTTTTAGTCAGTAAGAGTCTGACACTCTGTCTCGCCCGGCCCTGGGCGGGAGAAGTCATTTGATGATTTTCCCCTCACAAAAAAAAGGTGAGTGCTAAACCAGTGAGGGGGTAAATCGCTGTATAGGCTATACTAACGTATTTGTACCGGCCGAGCCGGTGGTAATAAATGTTCCGATTTTACAGTCTACCCACTCTTTATTTAATATCCTCCTAGGAATACCTCTGCCTAGTTTAGGTGGGATAAAGTGGCATAGCGGTAACATTAGCCGGTAAGATATGAGCGTTTATTATCAAGTTCTTGCGGCGGGGGAAATATAAAAAATCAACTCGTATGTTCATAAAACAAAAACCATTAACTGCATTTAAATTATTCATGACCATTAACCATAAACAATTCTATGTATTATAAAAATAATGTAATCGTAGTAATTAAAATAAATGCGGAAAAATACAGCTAAATGACTAGGTCGTAATGTTAAATGTGCCTTCAAAAGCAATAAGTAGATTTTATTATCAAGGTACAAATAGTGTGATTATACCTACTTACTACACTAGTAATATTCCCCTTTAAAAAATTAAACAAAGAACCATCGTCAGAGCTTCGAAAAAGTCACAATTCTTGTTGCGAGATGGAGTTCCCAAAAGACTGGCAAAAATGGCAAGTTTTTTTATAAGTACCTACATGCTAATGTAGTCTGTGGTCACCTTATACACAGTAAAAATATCATACAGTATTGTAACTCAGCCGCTTTAAAGAAATAAATACCTACAGCCGCGCGGTACGTAAACATGCGTTAGGGCTGCTCGTCTCCAGTATTTTAATTACCTTTGTCTACTTTCTGTTTCCATTTAGTTTTGTGATTGTAAATATCCTTTTTTTTATATAAACAAATAAAGTGCTTTAAAAATAAACAAACAAAATTTCTTTGGTCACCAATGCCGAACTGAACAGCTGACTACGAATGTTCTAAAATCACAACCCTCAAACATCAAAATATTACATGAGTCTAGCTGACTATTGTTGTTATTAAAACCGAGAAAAAAAAACAGTTTTTATTGATATTATGTTGTTAAAGCAGCAGCAAAAACTCTTTATGAAAAGTTCGAAAACTATCTAATGTCACAGAGACTGTCAAATTTATTTTTTCTAGTATTAATCATAAACACAGATAATAAACAAATATTATTAATAATAAAATACCACACTCACTAATTTGACTTATACAAACTAACAAAACATACATGAACCGTTTTAACACAAGCGTAAGTAGGTAGGTTCCTAACGTATCATGATTCATTTAGAACCAGAACCGCCTATAACTACCTATTTCACTCGTCTCAATAACTTTATTCATTTTATTTATAAATTCAAACACCTGTTTTCGTGAGATAAAAGGAAGATCCATTATAAAGACACACATTATGTACCTACCTAGGCTACTAGTAAGTAAAATTATTTTATAGTCTTACCTTTCAGAGTTTCCAGGTAATTTAAAAAAACTTATTTCTGGATGCGTTATTGACGAATTCATGCAACCAATAACCAAACACAGCACAGTATTTCCTATTCGTCATATTAAATAATGTACTCGAGCTGATTTCTAAATAAAAGACAACACACCGTCCGTTCGTCACTGCGGTACAGCCGCGTCTTTCTGCGTCCCGAGCGCGCCCCGACATCGGGCGCGTAGGTATAGTTCGCGTTTCGGCCGTTTCTATGAAGTTGGAATACTTGTAGATATTATTACCTTGCCTTATATCTCGATATTCTTACTGTAACGTACTTAAATAACGTAATAGACTAAAACCTTAACTCCACGAAGGTAAATTTACACGTTTCTTCCACCCTGGGTGGAATGAGAGGAAGTGTTAAACTGTAATTAAGTACTCCTGCTCCTAGTTGGGTTAGGGCCACGTTAGAGCACAGGGCTTGCAACCGCAATGCCGACTGATCTATACAGGGCTACTTTGAACAAGGGACATATATTCTAGAACCCGATTCTGGCGCTCAAATAAAACAACTTTTCCCCCAAGACCAAATCTCATAAAAATCTCATAAAAATATATACTTATTACTCAGTTACTGATTAACCAGATGTTGCGATTTGTATAGAGAAACAGATATATTTTTGAGATTTGGATACTGGTCCCATGGAAAAAGTTGTAGTAATTAAGCACCTTAATCGGCTCCTTGAACATGTACTCGTACAAAATGCCACCATATATAAGTATATATTTTATTACCGTTAATTGAGCAATTCACAGTATCTTGGATAATACTCCGAAAATGTCGAATGCAAAGAGTTCCGGAAACAAAAAACAATCTCGCCAGAATTCAATTTTAGAACAAAAAGAAAATATTGTGTGCAAAGCTTACCAACTAAACGCGACAATTATGTGTAAAAGCAATAACGAAAGTGAAAGCACATTAAAAATATCAGTTCATTACATCAACGTTCCGATACAACAAACAGACACCCGATACCAACAATTATACTTATTCATCGAACTGTTTTATTCTATAACCAAGTAGATAGGTACTAGGTAGGTACGCATGTACCTAAATAGTTTAACAACCTCCTGAAATAATTGTTATGGGGTTGAAAAATGTTGATGTCATTCTAAAAGGTAATAAAACAATTCAATGTCTAAACAATGCTATAGCGATCATCGACCTTTTTATTTGTTTGGTTATTAAATGTGAATCGAAGAAGAAGGTTATAGTGACGCGACAGTAGATGAATAATTTGTAAAAACGTAAACTTTAGAAGGAGAAGAAGTGTGAGAGAGCTTTGGCACGAATGGGTCGGCTCGACCGGAGTGATACCACGGCTTCACAGAAAACCGGCGCGAAACAACCACATAGTTGTGTTTGGCCTTGTGAGTGAGATGACCGAAAGCCAAATACCCCAATACTATACAATAGTTAAATAAAGTAATACATTGTGGCGTCCCTCCCTGGGACCCACTATTAGTATTGTTATTGTATAATAGAATACCAGATATTGTTTATGGTCGCCATTGACTATCTATGGTTTGAATTTTGTCACAACAATTTTGGCGCCACTTTTTAGGCGGTTACATGTGTAAGCGGTGTAAGGTCAAGAGACCACAATTATTCAATATTGAATACATATTTTATTTACAAGTCCGCCTCTTATTTACTCGGCTTACGAAGCCAAAACATAATTAGAAAGTGGTACGACTCGCAGAAAAACTAGACGTCGACAAATCGCGTAAAATCTGCAAGTTGAAGTGTTAATGGGCAGGCCACATCGCTCGAAGGACTGTTCGATGAGTCAGAAAAGTGCAGTGTCAGATGCGAGTAGCTACTTGTCGTCCGGCGTGGAGAACTGAGGGGGAGGCATTTGTGCAGCAATGAACGTCTTTCAGCTGATGATAATGATGATGATGATGATGAGAACTTACAGGGTCCGTAGTAAATTCTGTTGAAGCGATTTCGATTTTATGACAGGTCTTGCTCAAAAAGTAATTTGGTTAGCTACATCCCACATTGTCTTTAGTGTTCGTAGCAGAGTAGTCATTCTCTTTGCACTTACCTTATATGCCGAATTTCTCTAAATACCTCCTATAAGACAAACATTAGGTCCAATTTCTGCCATTCATTGGTGGTACCTATTTGTAACTATCTGAGCGACTTTTTCACGTAACTCTTCAGCTGCGCTTCGTTCGTAGCTTTGTGTTGCGCAACGCTGCTAATGAATATAAGGCCCTTATCATGGTTTGAAATGTGTCGAGTTTCTCGTCAAAGAGTGAAGCGAGTGAGCCTGCCCAATGTAAAAACAATTTTATATGTATGTGTCATGTAATTTATAACCCGAAAAAACAAACATACGTACGTATCAGCTTAAACATAATATCGCAAAAATGTACCTACGTAAAAAAAATTAAATAAGATCTAACGAAACCTCAAACTCTTTTGGGATAAATCAAGAAAAATTGAGAATTCTGTCAAATGACTCACAAAAAGTGTCTTCTTTCAAGACATATGAAATAACCTCTCGAGATCTAGGTTATGTTAAGTTAAAATAATCCGAAATAACCTATAGCTATATCTGCTTTCTACGAGGTATGTCGGAGAGCAGATTCAAACTATGCAGTCCTTTCGTAGATAAGGTCTAAATCGCTGTGACAAAATGAGAGGCGAGATCAATCGAGCTATTGTGTCGCCGGAGGTGATCGCTTTTAGGTACTTTCTCTTATTAATACTTCTACTATTAAAATATAGCAGTAGACAGAGCTTCTATCGTTAGGACAAAAGCCTCCTTTGCTCAAGGTCATTAATGTTTTTGTTTTTTTTTTGTATTGTATGGTTAGTAAGACATGTTAGACATATGTTCGCCGCGTTCTCAAGCCACAGGTCACTGAGATATCTTTACTAGTTTCAAATCACATTAGGGACTAATGTTCATGTGTACCAATACCGGACACATGATGTGGGTGCGACGAACGTTGCGTAGCCAATTGTATCCTTTTGTAATTGCTTTGGTGAATGTCGCTGACCGATTCTTCTTACGATCAGGTGATCCGAATCTTGTTTGCTTACACAAAACAAGCGTTGTAATACGCTGGTACGCTGTTATTATTTACGTTGGTATTCTCTGGGGCTGTAGTATCACTCCAGTCGAGTTGGTAGGTCTAAGTAACAGTTGTGTACTGTCTTTACTCGCTTTAATGTAAATGATATTGCTCGTCGTCCAAACATAGCTGGCCTTTGATTTAACAGAGAGCTGTGTATAGTTTTGGGTTTAAGATAGGGTCTACATTCGATTGAACCTAAATTAAAACTATGACGGACTCTGATAATTCGTTCTATTGAAATATTTGCAATGTATATTATTAAAAGAACTAGTAATTATAGTACTAAATGTTTAATACGTACTAGTTCTTGAGATTCTGTTTACTGGACACTGAACAGGTTTACTTACCATATAAATTTACCTACTCCTCTTCTGATAAATGTACTTTTTGATAATATTCACTCATATTAATCCTTGCCAACAGGTCACGCGCGAGCAGTCGCGCGATGGAGCGCTACGAGAAGCTCGCCAAGTTGGGCGAGGGCTCGTACGGGCTCGTGTACAAGTGCCGCAACCGGGACACTGGCGAAATCGTCGCCGTCAAGAAGTTTGTGGAGAACGAAGATGATCCACTCATCCGGAAGATCGCACTCAGGGAAATTCGGATGCTAAAAGTAAGTTGAAATTGTTACCTATTAGAAATCTTATCATCACCAGGTGAACAAGACCTTCAACACAGATTGAAAAGACAGTGTTCCAAGATTACAGGATAGGTTTTAAATGTATGAATACCCCGGTTTCTGAAAGGCTTGTCAACGCTAAAATTAACTAATCTCCTGTTAAATACGATAGAACAAGAAATTGATTTTAACATTGATCGACCTTTCGGAAACCGGGTGTTAGACACCTAACTATGAAGTGTCTCTCCATGCTATAAACCACAAGCAGAAATAAATTGATCAGCCAATTTAGTGGCTTATTGTTGTGCACAACAGATTTCCGCGAACCAGAAATATATAAAAAAAACATCAGATGAAAAGTGTTTGGGAACAACAAGGGATTATGGAAGGGTGTAAAAATTTAAATCTATTTAGTCGTCAAAAAGATGATGAAAATATTAGACAAGTTTTTTTTGTCGCATTAGAAAGCAACACTTGAGTCTAGGTGTGGTCGCTAGGTAAAGGCTCAGTAGAAAGTGTACAACATTGTGACGTTGTATGATATTCTATTGGAAATTATCTAATGTTTTTGATTCCATGAGAAAAGAGGATAAATATAATAAAAAAATTGACATCTGCCCTATTTCGGGTCTGAGTGTGATGTGGTGTTTTATAATTTTTAATCTTTCAGTGAGTCCTTTAACTGAAAGAAAGGAAGAAATGAAAAATCTCAGTGAAAGCACCAACTACTCGTATATGATTATCTTATATACACAGTTAGGTTAAAAAAGGTATTACACAACTATAACAAAGCAAACATCCCCAATCCAGCGCTAGTGGTTTTCATTTGGCACTCTTGAAGTGACACATGTCGCTGCTACTGCTAAACATTGGCCTCATCTTGCTTACTTGCTTTCATGAACTCACTAGCTTTTGCCCGCGACTTCGTTCGCGTGGACTTCAGGTACGTCCCGTCTAGTCTAGTAATAAGTAAGAAATACGGTAACTAAGCACTGCAGAGCACTAATCATAGGTCTATAGGTACTGCAGTATGCTCCTCTAAACTACATGTAACGATCTTTTTCCTTCAGCATAAACATGCAGATTCTTCGCTTTGGAAACGTAAGCGCAAAAATGTGTTTTTTTACAACCTCACATTAGAAACCTCAAAAATTTTAGCTTATGTGTTATTCTGATGTATAAGCTATATTGTGGTAAAGTTTCATTCAAATCCATTCAGTAGTTTTTACGTGAAAGAGTAACAAACATCCATACATCCATACTTACAAACTTTCGCCTTTATAATAGTAGTAGGATTTTGTGACTTCAAGGTGATAGTACAAGCATTTATTTCAAGCAAACCATGCAATCAAGCGAACTGTGTACCTTTGGAACCATTATTGTATAATGGCCACAAAATCCATCAGTTAGAATTACCCCATTTACCAAAATGGTGATATGGTATTTACGTCCTTATATGCTTAGCAGAATGATTTTATCTTATCTCCCTATACTAAATGCTACCGTCAATCAAAGTAATACGGAAATAATTACAAAATGCTCAACTCTAACGATGGCTGTCCAGTTCACGAGCCTTATCAAATTTGATTAATTTGCAGATAACGCTGTGACGTCAAAAGATGCGTATATTAACGAAAATATGTGTGGGAATATAGAAGAAATTATGGGTGTTTTAGAATAATGTGTGAAGTTTCCGATTTGCGTCATCAGAGCTCAATGTTATAATACTGAATGATGGTTTCTCAAGTTTATTTGCGTAGCTAAATTAATAGTCTATTATTTAAGCAAACTTGCAACACGCACCCACAGCTAAAGGAAGTTTATTCATCGAAAAAACAGCTTCAGTCTTGTTTTCTCCGTCTTTTTATAAAAAGTGCTCTTGAGGTCTTTTGGTTGAGCCAATGGGTCTATAGGTTCATGCTGATCACCACAACGACCTGTTCCTCGAATGTGTACGATTCTGGAGAATTCAAATATCATCTAAAAACTAGAGAAGGGGTGTCAAACACAATTTTGCAGAGGGTCATATTCGATCATAGAGTAGGAGGGCGACGGGTTATTTTCTTTTTTAAATTTAAGCGTTGTTGAACATCATCCTAAAGTAAGAAAGGTTTTCTTCATTTTGTCTGGACACCAGGGGTAAGAGACAGAGCTAGACAACTTTTATAGCTCTTTCTCTTACTCACACTGAAGTAAGATTCCTCATAAGGCACTTACAACACTCACTCCAGTCTGTATATTTTATAGACTAGGTAATATAGCTAATTAAAACAGTTTCCAGTAATGTATGATAGACCAAACCTTCTAAAAAAGACCGTTCTTCTTTTTGAACTGTTTCATATACTTTAGATGTCCATCAGCGGCACTGATAACTTACTTTCCACCAGACAATCCCTTTACGTCATTCACCATAAAAACTAATTTTAAACCGAACATAGACTGCGGTAAATCTTTTTTTTCCTTGGCAATGATGACGTGACGACCTTTAACTAATATTGTTTGCAACCCCGTCGAGGTCATGAGTAAAAATACACCGGACATTAGTGCATTATGAGTTTGAATATCGATTTATGCAGTCGTATATTATGAGAAACACAAGATGCTAGTCATTATCTGTTCTTTGAAGTAATGAATTACCTAAATTGGTTTGGTATCGATTTGTTTATGTCTTCATTTATTTGTGACGTGACTTCCATCATGTCTTCTTATTGTAAGAGAAAATCATCAAAGCACTTTTTGTCCAGGGCAAGGCGAGAGGGAGTTTCAGATACTTACTGACCCGTTCCTTTGCCTGGTCTAGACCGAGGTCGCGGTACCTTATTTCGCTTGCCTTGCCACCCCCGTTGACTACTATGCCTAATGTGATAAGATGGGGGTCTTGTCATCAGCACATAAGTGCTAAGCACGCCACATTTTCTCAAACGAAGAATTTAAGTGTTGGTGTGCCATGCTGCGGCACGACTGGGTCGGCTCGACCGGAGTGATACCACTGCCTCACAGAAAACCGGCGTGAAACAACCACAGCGTTGTGTTTCGACGTGTGAGTGAGGTTACCGGAGGCCCAATCCTTCCCCTCCCCCGATTCCTAGATCTCCAAAACCCTAATCCCTAAAAGGTACGCACTCGTAACTCCTCCGTTGCGGGTGTCCATGGGCGACGCTGATTGCTTACCATCAGGTAATCCGTCTGCTCGTTAGCCGACATTATGATATAAAAATGGCGGTGTCATAATCATATAAATAGTTGCAATTACAGGTTTACTGGCGATGTTTTTTTTATACCGTACCTCATTGTTTCATTGCCATTCATTAGAAACCGAATCCATCTTTATAAGGAGAGGGTGAAAAAGGCAGCAATACAGCGTAATCAGTGGTCGTTTCTACTTTGGCTTGTAATTATGCGTGTATATATTGTGCTGTAGTCACTGCTTTATAGCAGTATTACTTACTAAACTATTATGAAGAGTCAGTTTCAAGAGACGAAGCTCGATAACGGACTTGGAACTCTAGGGTTGTGATGGACCATGTTCGATGGCGATTGCTCATTCTTAGATAATGCGTCTGCACATTTGCCATCATGAAAATGCGTTATTTTACATTTGTTTAATATCGCAGCATATGCTGAGATAGGAATATAGGAGCCTTTTGGCCTCGCACAGAGCAAATATGTTGTAATAATTGTTAATTTTAGTTTTCTGTTTTTGTTTTGTTGTAGTAGTTATTTTTATTTATTTTTTATTATTGTTGTTGTCCTGTGCGAGTCTAAATAAATGTTTATTCTTTCTTTCTTCTTTCAAAAACAGGACAGGACTTCTTCTCTGATTCTTTACTTCAAATAACGTTTGCAAACGAAAATATCTCACTAAATTTAACAGCAATTTTGTTTCCAATACTGAAACCAATAATATCCTGATATACCTTGTTCATATCAGGTTAATTGATTGGGTCAATGTACTATTACACTCGCCCCCTCATATGAAACTTATACGATAGTTGGAAAAGTCCATTGACCTTTGCATGTACCCCTTCGCGAACCATGTGTGCGTGACGGTAATTCCTTATTCTTTTATCCTTTAAGTCTACTAGGTCTCCCTCTGTCGGTGAAAAATTGATGTGTTCATTATTTTTTTCGTAGACGTCGTTACCTTGGTACTGTTACGATTGCCCAATGCACCCTTAAATGATTAATCTACAAAATCCCCTTATGATCAGCAGTTATCCCCCCTTCATGGCAAAAGGGCCTCATCAGCAGTTTTGCCATTGAGATATACTAGATCTCTCTAGCCTCAGTCCCCTTCTAGATCCCGTCGCGAGCACATCACTTAAGCGTGCTAGTTCTATGTCCAATATACATAATTATATTTTTTAATTCTAGTTCAGTGTAATAATTAATTAAGTGTTTAATATAGGATATTAAGTAAAATTGTTTTTTTAAAACCTTCCGAGAGGTTTCCCTTCTAACATTGGTGGCAGCGAAAAGGATTCCAAAAATCTGGAAAATCCGGTAAACGCCTCAGTGAAGAGACATTCAGTGTGCAGTTTACGTGTGCAAAACTAAACTCACTATCTCCGTGAAAATAAATTCTACATCCATATCTTACCTGCTTCTAAATCTTTTATAAAATTCATCACTTACCCGATACTTACTCGCGTGTGTACCCTCTACAAAATCCCGCGAGTGCAAAGTGCAGTTCCAGTGTTCCTGAAAATCATTTAAATATTTCCACCGTTCCCGCAGTCAGGTGATCATGTCCCTGCTTCATCTCATCATCATAGCTGTTATCCTGTAAGTGAAATCAATATCTAACTCGATTCCCAGTGCAGTGCAGTGCTCCAAAAGTATACATAAAATACAATCCAGTGAATAAGTTACAGTGAAACTTAGCGATAATACCTGTAGACTAAACATCCGAAACACTTCCAAGTAACAGCCTTATCAGTTACTCGACGACGCCCGCTAGCATCCTAGCAACATTGTAACCACTATACTTCATTGTTTTGTAATCTATTCTTAGCCTTTGTTCATACTTATTTTTATACACATTTCCGATTATAATAAGAAATGTCCAAACCTGACGCAAAGGCAGAGCTCGTTACTCTGTCAGAGAAAATGGAAACAAGTATTCTTTTTAAGTTCATTAAACCCTTTGATGGATCTAGAGATAAGCTTCAATCGTTTCTCAATAATTGTGAAAATGCAAACAAACTCGCTTCAATTACTCAAAAACCTATTTTGTTAAATTATATTTTAAGTCGACTCGAAGGTAAAGCTGAGTCAGCAGCGTCCATTAAGGACTTTGACAGCTGGGAACAGGTAAAGTCTTTCTTACAATCCCAATTCGGGGAAACAAAACATTATGCACATTTATTGTCCGAATTACAGGAACTCCAACAGCAACCAGATGAATCTGTTAGCCAGTATTCACTTAAAATTGAGTCTTGCCTAGCCAAACTAATTACCGAAATTACGATTTCCAATAAAAAGAGAACCGAATTATCCGGTAAAATATCAGCTATGGAGGAATTAGCCCTCCACTCATTCTTAATGGGACTTTCACCCAAAATTTGCAATCTAATTCGTATGAAAAATCCTTCTACCTTGAATGAAGCCATTAACTTTGCTATCTCAGAAGAGAAAATACAAGCCCAATTATTAAAGAAAAGGAATTCGAATCGTCCTTTTCAAAAACCAAATATTATTCAAAACCAATCTAGATCCAACGCAATTCATAATTTGGACAAACCCCAATCTTCTCCACCTGTATGCCGATACTGCAAGTTCGAAGGTCATACCCTCGAAAATTGTAGGAAGCGTCAGTTTAATAACAACAGATTCAAATTCAACCAAAACAACAATTTCCAACGCCCACAAACCAATAACAATCGCGCTTTTCCGCGACAAACAAATACACAAAACCGCGTTAGCCATGTCGACTACGACAACCAACCTCAAGATTTTATAACTGACGAAAGTCATTTAAACGAGTAGTGGGCTCACGACGGTGTCACGTGAGGCCCAGACCTCAAATTCCATATCCGTCTTCGCGCATAAAAGACACCAATTCTAAATCCTCTGTATCCGCTGCACCAAGAGTGTCAGCCAATTCTAAATCCTCTGTATCCGCTGCACCAAGAGTGTCAGCCAATTCTAAATCCTCTGTATCCGCTGCACCAAGAGTGTCAGCCAATTCTAAATCCTCTGTATCCGCTGCACCAAGAGTGTCAGCCTATTCTAAATCCTCTGTATCCGCTGCACCAAGAGTGTCAGCCTATTCTAAATCCTCTGTATCCGCTGCACCAAGAGTGTCAGCCTATTCTAAATCCTCTGTATCCGCTGCACCAAGAGTGTCAGCCAATTCTAAATCCTCTGTATCCGCTGCACCAAGAGTGTCAGCCAATTCTAAATCCTCTGTATCCGCTGCACCAAGAGTGTCAGCCAATTCTAAATCCTCTGTATCCGCTGCACCAAGAGTGTCAGCCAATTCTAAATCCTCTGTATCCGCTGCACCAAGAGTGTCAGCCAATTCTAAATCCTCTGTATCCGCTGCACCAAGAGTGTCAGCCAATTCTAAATCCTCTGTATCCGCTGCACCAAGAGTGTCAGCCAATTCTAAATCCTCTGTATCCGCTGCACCAAGAGTGTCAGCCTATTCTAAATCCTCTGTATCCGCTGCACCAAGAGTGTCAGCCTATTCTAAATCCTCTGTATCCGCTGCACCAAGAGTGTCAGCCAATTCTAAATCCTCTGTATCCGCTGCACCAAGAGTGTCAGCCTATTCTAAATCCTCTGTATCCGCTGCACCAAGAGTGTCAGCCTATTCTAAACCCTCTGTATCCGCTGTACCTAGTGTATCAGCTAATTCTAAAATCTCTGTATCCGCTGTGCCCAAAAACCTAGCCTATTCTAATCCCACTAAATCCGCTGTGCCCAAGGCACCAGCCTACTCTAAATTCTCTGTATCCGCTGTACCTAAAGAGTCAGCTTGTTCTAAACCCTCCGAATCTCCTGTACCTGAAAAATCTAAATTTTCCAAATCCATTGAGCCCGCTCTAATTTCAACAAGTTGTTCAACCCCTAGATCCAAAGAAAACATTATTTACGAAATTACTTCAAATTCCACGAAGAGATATGTACCACATGTTTCCCTTAGAACTCCGTTGAATAACCGTAGTTTAACCTTTTTAGTGGACACTGGATCCGCTGTAAGCTTGATAAAAAGCAACGCAATAAAATCGATGCCCGTGCTCCAAAATGAAATCATTCATCTAAAGGGTATTGACAACACTAATGAAACTATACCCACCTCTGGTCATTTCCAGTTGCAACTATTCCCAAATTCTGAAATTACTTATCGTTTCCATGTAGTTGAACAGATTGTTTTAAATTACGATGGTATAATTGGAACCGACCTCCTGAATGATTTAGAAGGGATTATTGATTATAATTCTGACACACTACAAATCGGTAATATTATAACAAAATTAAATTACTGCCAACCCATATATGAAATTGCACCCCGTACAGAAACGATAATAGAGTGCACTGTTAACAAACTCGAACATCGTCAAGGACTTATCCTCGATCAACACGTTTCCGATACTTTATTAATAGCAAACTGCATCGTTGCAGTTAAGGACAACAACCGTATAAATATATCTGTTGTCAACACCTCTGAAAAAACAGTCACAATCAGCTCAGATCTAAAATTAGAAATACAACCCCTTGAAGTAAATTCTTTCCAAATCCAAACAAATCCTGACTCTTCTAAATCCTCTCTAACCAGAAAACAAGAAGTCCTAAATATGTTACGGGCTAATCATCTCAATGATGAAGAAAAATCGAGCCTATACGATATCTGCTCTCAGTATTCGGACATTTTTCATTTACCCGACGATAAACTGTCGACCACCGATCTCCTAAAACACGAAATAAATACGTCTCCCTCTGAACCTATTAACGTCAAATCATACAGATTCCCCGAAGTTCACAAAAAGGAAGTTGAAACACAAATTTCCAAGATGCTGTCCCAGGACGTTATTCAACCCTCTGTATCCCCCTGGTCATTCCCAGTTTGGGTCGTCCCCAAGAAAATAGATTCCTCTGGTCAAAGGAAATGGCGCATTGTCATCGACTACAGAAAGCTTAATGACATCACAATCGGCGAAAGTTATCCTATACCTCAAATCAACGAAATATTAGACCAATTAGGTCAAAGTAAATATTTTTCAACCCTCGATTTATGCTCAGGTTTCCACCAAATTGAAGTCTCTAACAAAGACATCCCAAAAACCGCGTTCACGGTTCCTCAAGGGCATTTTGAATTTAAACGCATGCCGTTTGGGCTTAAAAACGCACCTGCGACTTTCCAACGCCTTATGAATACTGCCCTTGCCGGACTTCAAGGCATCCATTGCTATGTCTATCTCGATGATATAGTAATATATTCACACGATCTTCCATCACACTGTGAAAAACTGGTAAAGATATTCGATAGATTACGTAAACATAACCTCAAATTACAACCCGACAAGTGCGAATTCTTCCGCAAGGAAGTTGGCTACCTTGGTCATACAATAAGTGACAAGGGAGTAAGTCCAAATCCTGACAAGGTCAAGGCCGTGTCACAATATCCAGTTCCCAAATGTCCAAAGGACGTTAAGTCATTCCTAGGTCTAGTATCTTATTACCGCCGTTTTATACCTGATTTTTCTAAAACCGCGAAACCTCTTACTACATTACTAAAAAAGGACGTTCCTTTCTTTTGGTCGACTGAACAACAAATAGCTTTCGAAGAACTAAAAGAAAAATTAATCTCTGCGCCTATACTCATTTATCCTGATTTTTCCAAACCCTTCGTACTTACTTGCGATGCATCAAACTATGCGATATCAGCCATTCTATCTCAAGGCGAAATTGGGAAAGATCGCCCAATCGCCTATTCATCAAGAACGCTTAATAAAGCGGAAACTAACTACTCCACGACAGAAAAAGAATGCCTAGCTATAGTATTTGGCACTAAAACGTTTAGACCATACCTATATGGACATAGATTCACTATAGTAACAGATCATAGACCATTAAAATGGCTATTCAACTGTAAAGATCCGGGTTCCCGACTAGTTAGATGGCGTTTAAAATTAGAAGAATTCGACTATAACATCGAATACAAAAAAGGTAAAATAAATAGTAACGCTGACGCTTTATCTCGATTTCCCGTAAACCCCGTTCAAGATAACGAGGATCCTATTCCTTCTACATCTAGGCAGAATGTCGAGGAGCTAACACCCGACTTTAGCCCTATAAATCTAGAAGATCTCGATATACAAATACCATCTGTGCCTTTAGACTCTGATGAAATCCCATCGGTAGATTTGTTAGACAATGATGACAGCCTCGATGATATTCTAAGTCCTGAAAATAGAGAAAACTCACCTAAAAATCTAAAGCTTCCAAACCCTTCGGTTGATAATGATGCCATAGAACCTCCATTATTGACTTCTAATTCTGACGAAACTTATTCCAAATTCCTGAAAACAATGTCCGGAAAACAGTTCGACAGTAACACCAAAATTATAGAACACAATGAAAATATTTTCAAAACTAATTGTAAACATATAGTCCTACCTACCTCTATCGACCTCGATATAGCTAACCCTTATATAGAGGAAATTCTGAATGAAATCGAAGTGTCCTCAGAACTCTTAAGTAAAGAAAGGACACTGTTTACTTGTTTATCCTTTGAACATAAAAATAAGCATTTCTATTTCTTATTTACAAAAGTTTATCACTTTGATAGTTGTTCTTATGAAGACATCTATAAAAGCCTAATAAATCTAAAACATCAATTACTCTCGATACCAGGCGAAGAAACCGTAACCTTGGCTATTAGCGACTTCCGTAACCCCTTTGATAAACACGATTGGCCAAAAATATATAATATGTTTTGCTATATCTTCAATAACTCAAATATATCTATTGACATTTACCATAATTCGTTAATATTTCCCACTCCATCTGAAATAAAGAAAATCCTTCGGGAAAATCATGATATCCCTATCGCTGGACATCTAGGTACGGCTCGCATGTTAAATAGAATAAAAGAAAGATATCATTGGAAAAATATGCGATCAGATATCGAGCTATATATAAAAAACTGTTCGCAATGCCAAGCCAACAAAGCCCTTAGGCAAACTAACCGCGCACCCATGCAAATAACCACTACATCCACAAAACCCTTCGAGCGCCTTAGCATGGATCTCGTAGGCCCACTCCCGGAAGCAGGCCTAACAAGACTTAAGTTCATCCTAACTATGCAAGATGACTTTACCAAATTTTCTTTCGCGTATCCTATTGCAAACGCCACTTCAGAGGACACATGTGAATGCCTTGTACATTTCATTTCCTTATTCGGAATTCCAAGAATAATCCTTACAGATCAAGGAACCAACTTCACCGCAGACATGTTCAAGAAGACCTGTGAATTCCTAAAAATCAAACAGATCTGGTCATCCCCTTATCATCCACAAACTCAAGGTGCACTTGAACGCAGCCATTCCACGCTCAAGGAATATCTTAAGTCCTATGTTAACGAAAACCACACAGACTGGCATAAATATGTTTATACTGCTATGCTTGCTTATAACACTTCAGTCCATGCTTCTACTAATTTTACCCCATACGAGCTTCTCTTTGGCCATAAAGCCTTCATCCCTGACTCCGTATATGAATTCAATTCCCAAACTACTTACCCTGAATATATTAAATTTCTGCACCATCGATTAAAACTCTCAAGGGAGAAAGCCCTTGAAAACATCCAAAAATCGAAAGAAAAATCAAAGGAATACTACGATGTCCACTCTCGTCCCGTTCGATATAAAGTAGGAGACTACGTCTATCTGAAAAATCACGTAAGATTACGTAAAGCCCTATCACCCGTTTGGAAAGGGCCGTATAAGGTCGTGAAAATTAATGGCCGCAACACTTTAACTCTACTAATTAATAGACGACACGTCACTCACCACTATGATGAAGTGAAACTAGCCCCTAGATCCATTACATAAAACCCTTATCTTAAGTAACTAGTATGTAAGCATAGTAATTATAATTATCTCACATTATATTCTATTTCCTTTCAGTAAACTTTCAACGGGTCAAGAATTCATCAAACCCTTAACAAATAGTTCTGGGATTTACTTCGACCCCATAGGATCTTTAAGTTTAGTTGATAGTTACCTTAGTGTAGTAATTCCTTTAAAAACATCATTTATTAATCCACATATTACTAATTTACATTATATACTTGAAAACTCAAAATCACTATGCGAAGAAAGCAAGGTTCTCGATAATGTAGAATGTAATAATCTCTTTCTACCTCTATTAACTCGATTCCAAGATATTAAACGTGATAGCGAAGCCATCTCTTATCTCATGTCTCATCAAATAAAAAGATCTGCACTTCTGGGTGTTATTGGAACCTTGTCCAAAAAACTGTTCGGTACTATGGATGAAGAAGATGCCATCCGGTACGATAACGCAATTCACGAGATTCAAACTGATACTAGTAAAATAGCATCGACATTGAAAGAAAATATTCTTGTTACTACCTCCACCCTTAAGTCTTACAACAACACCCTAGAAACAATCAAAACCAATGAACATGAACTCAATGTTGCTATCGACGCCCTATATGAAGATATAAAAAACCTAACTTATATTTCTAAAGAATTAGGAATACGATCCCGTATTTTAGAATTAACTTCTATGTTAGAAAATAGCCTCCTAGCTTTATCATTCAAGGTCGAGGATATAATGAATTCGGTCATGTTTGGTAAATCAAACATTCTATATCCATCTATTCTTTCGCCTGTAGAACTCTATACACAATTAGTGGATAACTA